TAGATTACCATATCACTCATTGCATCTAATACGGATAGGTAGAAGAGGGTTTTAGTGTACAAGTGGCTAGATTTTAGAGTCCCTTGATGATCGCAATAGGAAAGAAGGGTAATAATCCTTATGCAACATATTTCATAAAGAAGCAAAAGCATATGATAAAAGAATATATAAAGAATCAGCCTCGAAAATGGTGAAAATTAAACCTGATTTACTCGGTGTAGGTTGTTTTTGTGATCCTAGGTTGGATTACTTAATAGCCCAAAAAGAAGTTAAAAGATAAAACTTAGCAGAGCTGCACCAAGATTTAGTCCCTAAAAGTATTTAGCATTGCATGTCAAACAGCAACACGGTTCCAGGGCCGCAATCGAAATATAAGACAGGCATTCATTGCATATTTGTTAGAAGAAAGGTTTTATATTTTAAAAATTCGAAATTAATATTAGATTAGGCGAGGCTATTTGACTAAATCTAGTTTGCGTAGCAATCAGGGTTGTGCAGTCCAAGAAAAGGGTTTCAATAAAGATCTATTAATAGTTTAGGATACGAGCAGACAGTAGTAACACATATAACCTTGCCTTAACAACACTCATATCATTAAGAAGTGAATGAAATAAGGCATGTTTCGCCAAGATAATCGCATGGGTGTAGTGACCACCCTGCACTAGATTTATGTAACTGAGAGGTAAATGCTGGTCTCTTAATAAGAACAACTCGATTGCTAATCCAATTTTAGGGACTAATCGTATTGAGTGAACTAACTTCAATAAATATGGCTATTATCATAGGAAAAAGAACACGAGGACTTGATGTGAAAGTGTGCAAAAGGCTCCCGGAATGTTTAGGACGTCAATATGCAAGTACAACCAAGGTCGCTATGCATATGCATAAAGGACAAATTGTTTGGGTAACAATTTCTAAATTTGGAATGAATAACAGAGGCCATGCAAATGTATCTAGTCCTTCGCCATAGTAGTCATGGTAATTTTCAAAATCGGACCATTAATTTGATTAATAACTAAACGTTTCATCGCCATCATCAATTATAACGCAGCCGAGACGAGCGAAGGCAACCTTTTGAACCAATTTACTTTTCAACGATTTTGACATATTTCCCCCCTTTTATCCCAGTATCCCTGTACTCCATCCTTACTCTTAATATGGCAAAGTAAGCTAGCTACACATATAGATATTTTCGTTTTGTCAAATCTCTTCCTAATTTGTGGCCCTACAAGTGAGGCGTGAATCGCTTCACGACTGGTTTCCCATTCCACCTGCAGAGCTTCCTGGTCACAATTGGTTTTGCATTTATTAAGTCTTTTCCTTAGCTGTTTCCAGGTATCCTAACCTTCCGGCCATAATCACCCAATCCCGTCCTACATATACATCATACTCGAAGATTTATTCCCATGAACGGCCGCAACAATTAATGGGATGTATATACTAGCTTCATCGAGGATGGCTTGCCCAAAACGTGATTTCCGATACTACCGCCCTTAGCTTCTGAACTCCAATCACTCAGCTATCACATGCTCCTACCTACCCATATTCCTTAAATGTTAAAACAGAGTACTAAAATTAAAAAGAGAGCAAGGGATAAAGATTATACCATATGCCAGACACGAGATTTATAAAGAATCGGTCAGGCTGAAAAAATAGTTCAGTGAAAAGACTTTAGT